TGAGTTGAATGGATGATGAGTTAGAGGCATTAATGTTAAGATCTTGGGCAGGAAAGATAGTCTGCCTGTAGCTTAATAAAAGAAAGGAGAGTGGAGGGAGGTGAGGTTGGAGAGAAATGCAGGGACAGATCATACAGAGCCTTGTTAGCCAGTAAGGAATTTGGATTATATTCTAAGTGAGAAAGAAAGTCTGGCCAAGAGGAATAACATGAATGATAATGGTGGAAGAAGTAAAATCTCTTCAGTAATTCTAAAACTTGGTCATTCCTCAACCTCACCCCATTTCCTGCTATCTGTAAGAAGTCTCAACAGAAGTTAACTTCCAAAACCGGGTAAAACCTCCTCCTACACATTACCTAGTAGTGTTGATGTCTGACCCTGTTTTCATCCTGCTTCATACTTAACATGCTAGCCTTCATTTACTTTTGAGTAGTGAAAGCATGTGAGCTCTGGCATCATACAGACCTTCCTATCCACCTTCTACCTGTCTCACCTTGGACAAAGTGTATAATTTGAATCCCAGTTTCGTTCTCTGTAAAACCTTGCAGATTGGTTGTAAGAAAGAAATGAAATAATGCATGTGTGGCAGAATAATGCTTTTCTTTTCTCCCTGTATTTAGGTTTGTGATACAGGGAAATAGGTGGCTGTCTGGTGCCTCTTTGCAGTCCTGCTCCCAGGTGCTGGGGATCATTCCTCACCAAAGATTTCCCTGCCCCAAACCCGGTGCTGAAGCAGTAGAGCTGCCACTCTGAAAGGACTATACAGGCTAAGACCTGGGCATCCTTGCAGTAATCAGTCTGGAAAGATGCATGAAGACAGGAGGGGCTTCTTCATTGCCTCAGCACTGTCAGGCCACAGAACCTCTGAAAGACCATGGGAAAGGGAAGCCCCAATAATGTCTGAGATTGAATTTACTACCAGCCTCATGGGAAGAAAGTTTTAAGTCAGATTTAAGACTATTGAAAGAAATTTACTACTTCTTGCACTTTGTGCACTATTTTCTTGATTTTGTGGACCAAGATTCAAACCCACTACACATGAAAAACATTTAATACAAGGCCTGGCACATTTTATGTGTTCAGTAAATGGTAGCCAATGTTATTAAACCTAGTTGCAGAGCACCAGGAGCAACCTAGATTCAAAATAAATAAAATTGAATTAAGTAGAATTCTACAAATGTTTTAACTCCTAGTATGTTCCAGGCAATATGACAGTTGCTGGAAATATATTTCCCTTGCCCTAGAGGAGCAATTAGTGGCAAGGGAAAACAGATGCATAGTTAACTCAGATATGGCAAGATGTGGTACGTACTATAGTGACAGAATGGATAAACTATTGAGGGCTGAAATTGGGAAGCCCTCACAGAAGAAATGACATTTAATCTGTGCCCAGGAAAGGACAGGTAGAAATTTGATTGGTTGGCAGAGGAAAGCAAGTCTGGAACAGGGAATAGTATGTGCAAAGGCAGGGGGCTGGGGTAAACATATATCAAGAGTTTTGTGTGACCTAAGCATTGACTACTCTCCAAACAGCTATTAGGAATAAGGTCAGGAATGGCAGATCAGGGGCAATTTGAGGAGGACCTTTACCTTGTATGTGTTGGAGAGCCATTGGGAATTTAAATCAGGAAGAAGAGAAAAAGAAAATATCCTACAAGCTTCCAGAGAGAGAAAACAAAAACAGATCACATACAGAGGACCAGGACTGTGAATATCTTTTGGCTTCTCAGCAAAAACACAGGAAATGCCTTAAGCGTTCTGATGGAAAATGATTTCCAACCTAAAATTTTATACCCAACCAAGATATCAATCCAATGTGAAGGTAGTATAAATACATTTTCCAATATGCAAAGCATAAAAATGTTTACATCATATGCACTGTGACTCTGGAAACCAAAAGAGAATTTGCTACATTAAAATAAGACAGGACACAACAAAAGGGTGATTACTGAATACAAAAATAGAAGGTTCAATGCAGAGGACAGGTAAATCCTAACAAGGATGATGAAATGTGATCCCAGGATGACAGCTGTGTCATTGAGGCCAACTAGTTAAGACTGGAGCAGACAGATTATTCTATCTAAGGTGATAAAATCAATAGACTATCTGATGTATCTGATCATATTGAGAGGAAATTTGTGTTTCATTAATGATAGGTATAAATAAAACCAAGCAAAAGGAAAACATTAACTCCAGAGAAAACAAAAAGTTGTGTAGCGAAGGATTAGCAAACATGGTTTACTTTATGATTTGGCTGTGAATAACATTCACATAGTCATACTAATATAAACATTCAACACTGACCTAGCCAAAATTACAATTTACCCATATTATAGGAAGGGGATATATTAGTTTCCTAGGACTGTCATAAAACACACACACACACACACACACACACACACACACAAAATGAGAGGCTTTCTGGTCTCTCCCAGCTTCTGGTAGTCCCAGGAGTTCTTGGCTTACAACTGCAGGATAACTCCACATCACATGGCTGCCTTCCCCTCGTCTGTGTGTCTTTCTCTTGTCTCTTTTTTTATAAGGACACCAGCCATATTGGATTAGGACCCACCCTACTCCAGTAAGACCTCACATTAACTTAACTGATAACATCTTCAAAGACCCCGTTTCCAAATTAGGTCATGTTTATGGGTACCAAGGGTTAGGACTTCAACGTATCTTTTTTAGGGGAATATAATTCAATCTATAACATGGGATATAGGAAGGGGACATGTGTAGTGTGGGAATCAAAAAAAGAAACTAAATCCTCCTTTTCCATAGTGGGAAGTAAAGAGATAAACCCTAATACTGAAAAATCAAGATGTAGAAACACAAACCTGTTATTTAGATGTGAGAGGGTAATACCTACAAAATCAGTTAAAACCATTAAAGCTATTGCCTCTGGGTATGAGGACATGGTGGGAAAGGGTGTCAGGAGACTGAATTATTTTAGCAAACCCTGTAGGACTATTTGACTCTAAACTATACACATAATATAAACTTGTTAAAAAATTAAAATTATAAAACAGAGAGTGGATCAGAAGAGATGACTTGGAGATATCTAATGCAGAACACTCTTTCAGATCAAGTGACTGGGAGGAGCTTGGGAGAATTGGGTTGTAGGATAGAGATGGGATTTGATGGTCTCAATGGGAAAGAGATGACATGTTTATAATCTATTTTGGGGGACTCTGCAAAGAAAGAGAGTTTGAAAATATAGGAAAGGAGGTGACCATTCAACCTTTATTTTAAAAGAGAATGAAGGGGATCAGATCAAGAATGTCGGAGGAGATTTAAAAAACAAAAAAACAAAAACAAGAGACTACCTTAAGACTAGAAAAAAAAAGTGTGAGAAGGAGGACAGATACATCAATCTAAAAGATTCAGAATTGTTCCTACAAGTTCTAGTGACTTTTAGGTAATATATGCATAATGGAAAAAGTACACTTCTTGTCAAAAGAAGACACTTAATGACTTTATTGAACCTTATGACAGAGATCAGAGGAATATCTTTCCAATGATGTAGCAAGTTGACTTTAAGCAAAAGATCAGTAGAAATCAGGGCATGATGGGAACAGACATGTCTTGTAGTGTCGTCCAAGAATCAACCCTTTCCTCTTTCTCTGAGAACAACCTAATGTCACCTCAGAGGTGGGTGCTCGTCAGCCATGTATGTGCTGTCAGATCTTGTCCCCTTGGTCACAGTACATTGGATTTGGGTGGAGACCCGTCCCAAGTTTGGCCAGTCATATTTATTTTTCTCAAGAATTTAAAATCGTGACCAGGAGACACTAGTCTCAGTTTCTGTGGGTAGCTAGAACTAAGGAGATGTAAACTCAGGAGTTGCAGGACAGACGTTAACTGAAAACAAGAGTCCACAGAGACAGAAGAATATGACCAATGTGCAGAAGGATCTAGAAAATGACCATATGATCCAGAGAGAAAAAGAGAGTGCAAGAGGGGCTGCTCCAGTTTCTGTTGGCTTTTCAGTTCCAGATTCTGTTCACTGTGGGGCCTGGCTAGTGCCCACACTTGGATTCTGTTTCTTCCCTTCTTTTTTTAAAAAAAATTATTGTACTTTAGAGGAAGGTTTATGGAATAAACTAGCTTCTCATTAAATAATTGG